TGGGTCTAATTTGCTTCATAAGTTAGCTCAAGCACCATAGAAGAGAGAAAAATAAAACTCTAATTACTCACTAACCAACCATTAAAACTTCAAAAAAAAAGTGTGGAATAGCATTTTCTTACCTTCTACCACCTCTCCACCAAAGGATTTGAGATCAAAACCTTCCCCCCTGAGTAGAGCAATTTTTGGGAGGTGCCCAATGCCTCCCCACCTTTCTTTCACGGGTTGGAGTGAGTGACCCGAGGAGGAAGAAGGTGTTGCAGATTGCTTTATATGTGGGTCATTTGTAGGGGCGGCTGGTGATTGAGCCGCCCCTACAAATCAGAGGTATTTATACATGGGCATTTGTAGGGGCGGCTCAATCACCAGCTGGCCCTACAAATAGCAACGCCGGGGGCGACTGGTGAGTGAGCCGCCCCTACAAATCAGACCCATTTGTAGGGGCGGCTCGTATCACCAGCTGCCCCTGCTGTTCTATTTGTAGGGGCAGCTGGTGTCTGGTTTCCCGAGCACGCCACTGTAGGGGCGGCTTCATCACCAGCCGCCCCTACAAAAAATTCGTCCCGTTGCTACAAACCATTTTTCACGTAGTGGCTGCTACCCTGGACGGGCGCAGGGCAGCGCCGGCGATGGCGTGATCGTGATTGATGGGAATTTGTTTCCCCGCTTGTGCGTGATTTCGGGGAGGGGTTGTGGCCTTGCGGGGGAGGGGAGCGGAGACGCGTGCGACGACGATTTTGTTTCCATCTGATTGTGCGTTGAAGCCTGGAGGGTGAGGAGATCCAAATAACGTTCGCCATCGGATCGAGTTGAAGCCTGTGAGGGAGAATTAGGAGCCATTGATTTTAATGATGTTAAAATCTTGGGTGTAATTTCATTGGTGCATAATGATTGGCTCCCTCAGTGGGGGACGTATTGTTTGGTGTACCTAAAATTGTTTAGATTGGTCCCTTATAGTAGAGATATTGAAAGCCAAACGCTCGGACCCATGTGTTTATTGAGCTCCATGTTTGGCTCATGGAATAGAGTTGACCATGGATAATTAATGGGCCAAACACTTAACCATGTGGATGGTTATGCATGGCCCATTCAGATCTCATTCCATGTGTAGCTTGGTGATATACGTATATATTGCTTAAACCTATGAGGACGACATAGCACATGTCAACCCCCTACAGCTGGTGCATCAATGAAAATATAGGGAGGGTGAGGGAGAGGAAGAGGTGGAGGAAAGAAGAAAAATGGAGAGAGAGAGAGAGAGGAAGAAGAAAAGACCAGCCCCCTTCAATCCTGTTCTGCATCCGCCACTAGTATGTACGTGCATGAGAGCTTGGCTTTAGCTAGCTGATTTCCATGTAGTATGTGCATAAGCGTACGCATTTCTTTTGAGATGGCAAACGTATCTGTATAATGTTGTGACAAGAAGCACTTCTGCAATATACATCTGAAACATATGAAATATTTCCGATATACACTTGCAACATATGTGTATATAGCCACTGCAACATATGTAATATCCGAGATAAACACTTGTAACATAGTCTGAAATAGATGAAATTTTTTGAATAGACGCTTGCAACATATATGTATAGCCACTGAAATATATGCAATATCTATATAAAACACTTGCAACATGCGTCTAAAATAGATAAAACATTTCAAACAAAAGCTTGCAACATATGCAACATGTGCAACATCCCCCATCTATTTTTGCAGCATCGATGAAACCATTGCAACATACCTCTGAAATAAGTGAAACATACATTTGCAACATAGGGGGACAGAGGCCTAGGCCGATCAATTCAGGCCGATAGAGTGAGAGCCGGCGGTGAGTGGCTGCACGCGAGCACCACCAGCACCAGCACCAGCGGCACGCGCGAGCACCAGCGCCACCAGTACCGGGCTTGGCTTGGCGGCGACGGTGGGGGATGGGGGTGGGGAGCGCCATGGCTGTCGGGGTGGGGGCAGCTCGATTGCCAGGGTGAGAGAGGGCGCCACGGGAGGTGGGGAGGGCGTTGCGTCGGGGTTGGGGAGAGCCAACGACTCTCCTGCAACACCGCCGCACCACCTCCATGGATCTCGCCAGGGTGGGGAGAGGGCCATCGGATCTGCGGGCGTTGGGGGCTGCTGGTGGGTGAGGACGCCGGAGCGGGGAGAGGGGTGCCGCCGGGGTGGGGGAAGGAGCCACCGGGGTGGGGGAGGAGGACGCCGGGGTGGGTAAGGGCGCCACCGCCGGCCGGAAGGGACAAGGATGGGGAGGAGGAAGCAAAGAGATAAGTTTTTTTAATAAACATGCGGGCAGCCGGGCAGGGGTAAAAAGGCATTCGGCGATTGTGCGGTCTGTTGGACGTCTGACACATAGCATTTTCGTTATTTTATTTTTTAGGGAAATTTCCGTTGTTTTATTGGTTAATGTTTATAGAATCGTGACAAATTATCATCATGGTACGAGGCCAAGTACGAGAACACGTACCAGAGTTATCTCTCGTATGTTCCGGTGAGAAGCACGAAACGGGAAACCGGTCTGGTGCGATAGTCTTGGAGGAGGTAAGCCGAAGGGGCGACCAAGTTCGAGCTATGGATGTTGGCCTGGCCGAACTCATTCTGACTGGGGGCTGATACATCTGATCGGAGCACAGACAGTATGTTCATGGAGAAAATACTCAGAGATCATCCAGGTCAGCTCTATCCATTGCTGCCCTAACTAGAAACTATAAAATGTCTATGAGAAAGGAAGCAAAGGTGCGTAAGGGGTGGCAAAAACCTCCAGAAGGAATGATCATGGTTAATGTGGATGCATCGTTTGATGATGATGCAGGGTGTGGAAGCACAGGAGTTGTAATTCGAGATCACTCAGGGGGTGATTGCAGCCAGACATAGCTTTGTTCCTCATGTAATTGATGCACCTATGGCTGAAGCATATGCACCGAAGGAAGGTCTTTTACTGGCACAACACATTGGAGGTAATAGACTTATCATTCAGGCAGAATGTATGGAGTTGGTAGAAACTAAGGAGGGAGGATTCTTGGCTAACTCGGCGGCTGCCATCTATGACGAATACATTATTATATGGAGCGGGTTCTAGGAAATTTCTACTGAGCACTGCAGTAGAGATGCTAATTGTGTAGCGCACGAGTTGGCAAGATGAGCTATGCAAACCAAGACAGATTGTATTTGCGACGATGAGCCCCTTAGTTTTATTCATGAGTTTGTACTAAATGATGTAACTATCTTCGATCAATAAAGCTCGCGTATGCTTTGTCAAAAAAAAAAAACTCTTCGTCAGTACGTGTACAAAGATGTTGCCACACAATGATGTCGTCATCTCTAGATAGAAAGAAAGACAGCTCGTCATCGCTAGCCGATCATCATCAGTAAGCCGGAAATTGCTAGGTTGAAGGTAAACCCAAATTATCAGCCACAAATCGTCTCCTTCTATATATGTCGTCTTGTACAGGATAAACGAACTAATATGACTTTAACAGTGTGTAGTAAGCCTGAGCATTCGGGTTACCCGAAAATTTCGGGTCGGGTTGTTCGGATAATAAAAAACGATACCTGAATTTCACCTAAAAAATCACTACCTGATATTTCAGGTACTCGATAATTCAGATTCGGGTTCGGGTATTCCCGATCTACCCGAAATTCACAGGAATCAGCAGATGCGTCGAGCCATTGGCCGTCAGGGTAGTGCACCGGCAATGCCGTTGCGGCCTCGTGGATTCCTTCAATCGTGACTCGTGAGGGGGCTCGCGGCCGGTGAGGGCGTCACCACGTCAGGGCGGCTCGCGGCCAGTGAGGGCGTCAGCGGCTGGTGCGTGTGGGCGGCGCGGTGAGGGACCGGAGCCGGAGCGCGCGTCTCCCTCTCCTCCTCGCTAGGTTTCTCTTCCGCTTCCGTAGTCGGGGTCGGAAACTGGGGAAGCGCCCCAGCGGCCAGCGGGCTAGGCAGGGAGTGGATGACAAGCCAGTTCCTCTTTTTTTTAATATGATATTGCGTGCTTGGTGTTTGGTGGGCTGGGCCATGTCCGTGAAGGTGGGGCAGTGGACGACGGCCTTTACTGCAGATTGGGTTATTTGGGTAGTTCGGGTACCCAAATATATAAGCCGAGTTACATAAAATAATTTCGGGTTTTTAGAGTTGGTATCCAAATTAGTGATCGAGTATTTTGGGTTCGGGTATTTCGGGTCTAGGTCCAGGTATTTCGAATTCGGGTAACGGGTAACGGGTAATTTGCGTAGGCTTAGTGTGTAGTCTGTAGTGTACCAAGGCCGCGTGGCTCTGGAACCTTCCCCCACTTCTTTGGAGAAGGAGCGAGCCACTTAGCCGGCGGCGACGGTCTATCTGCAAAGGCAAAACTCTGCTTCGGCATGCATGGCGTCCTGGCCGTCCACGTTGACGGCGACGCGATCACACCCACCGCCTTTACCAGCTGTGCCGTCCCCAGCAGCTGAACTCACGGCCGTGAATCGCCCGCCGACGTGGCCCTCGCCGCCGCCACGACGGCCAACCTCGTCACGGGCCGCTATCCGCCCTCCCCTACCTCTATAAAGCCCCCATGCATCCCCCTCCCAAGTCCCAACCAGCCATAGCGCAGCACAACAGCAGCAGAAGCAAGCCGCAGCTACTAGCCGCCCAGCACTTCTCTACTGCGTACTGCCAACGACGATCGGCCGGCCGGCCACCTAGTTCGTTCACCGTACGTACGTGCACTTCCAATGGCGACCACGGCGATGGCCACCACCACCGCGAGCTCCCTCGCCTTCCTCGACCCCGGCGCTAGCGCCGGTCGCTTCCCGCGGCGCAGCTCCCGGCGGGTGCCGGGCGTGTCATCACTCCGCGCCGCCGCGCGCTGCTCGTCAGGGCCGCCCAGCAGACCGAGGACGCTGCCGCCGACACGCCGAAGCCCGCGACGGCTGCTCCGACTCCGAAGACGACGGGGCTCTGGGACGCGCTGGCGTTCAGCGGGCCCGCGCCGGAGCGGATCAACGGGCGGCTGGCCATGGTGGGCTTCGTGTCCGCGCTCGCCGTCGAGGCCACCCGCGGCGACGGCCTCCTCTCGCAGGCCGGCAACGGCGCGGGGCTCGCGTGGTTCGCGTACACCGCCGCCGTCCTCTCCGCCGCGTCGCTGGCGCCGATGCTCCAGGGGGAGAGCGCCGAGAGCAGGAGCGGCGGGGTCATGACCGCCGATGCCGAGCTCTGGAACGGACGCCTCGCTATGATTGGACTCGTCGCGCTCGCCGTCACCGAGTACCTTACCGGCGCGCCCTTCGTCAACGTGTAAATACGCCGGGCGTACAGTTGTAGTAGTATAGTACGTTTGTAAAAGGAACTTGTATACTCGTATCTATGCATGCAATTACAGCAGCTTAGAAATTACTGTATTTTGTAGGATTCCCTGAAAAAAATATACGTATTAAGAGGAATAGTTTCAGACTTTGAAACACTCGCTCGACAAATTGTTTTGTCTCCGTGCAAAATCCCCAAGCCAAAATTCAGTTTCCCGTTATACACTACCGGAAACGTCAAATTTGCCGAGTCTTTTTACGTTTGCCGAGTGTATTCTCTCGGACACTCGGCAAACAAGTTCTTTGCCGAGTGCTGCGATAAAAACACTCGGCAAAAAAAAACACTCGGTAAAGAGGAGTTTTACCGAGTGTAAAAAAAACACTCGGCAAAGATGGGGTTTGCCGAGTGTTTTTTTTACACTCGGCAAAGGAAAAAAATATTTTTTGAGGGAAAGAAGGAGAAGAAAAAAAATGAAAAAAAATCTTTGTGAGAGCCCAGATCTAGGACACTAGGCAAAGAAAAAAAATATTTTTTCTGAGAAAGAAGGAGAAGAAAAAAATCAAAAAAAAAACTTTGCCGAGTGCCAAGATCTGGGACACTCGGCAAACGAAAAAAATCTTTTTTTTAACCCCCAACAGACGCGCCCTAGGTCTCCCCACACGGCCCCCTCCCCTTCTCCCAGTGTCGTGTCCGCACGCCCCCTCCCATTCTCCACGCACGCCGCCCCTCCCCGCACGCCGCCCCCTCCTCTCTCTCTCGGGCCGGCGCCCGCCCTCCCTCCTCCTCCTCTGCAGCAGCGCCCGACCAGCCTGCTCCCCTCCCCTCCTCTCTCTCTCGCCCCCCCCCCCTCCTCCTCCCTCGCCGGCGCGGCCCGCCCTCCCCCCTTCCTCTCTCGGCATGGCGGCGCTCCCCCTGCCTCTCCCTGCGCGGCGGCGCACCTCCCTCCCTCCTCCACTGCCTCCACCAGATCCAGCCCCGGCGCGGGCGGACGGATCTGGCGCGCGACCCTCCTCTCCCGGCGCGGCGGCGCTCCCCCTGCCTCTCCCTGCGCGGCAGCGCACCTCCCTCCCTCCTCCACCACCTCCATCAGATCCGGCCCCGACGCGGGCGGATCCGGCGACGGTGGTGCATGGGGAGGCCGTATCCGGCCCCGGCGCGGATGGACGGATCTGGCGCGCGGCCCTCCTCTCCCGGCGCGGCGGCGCCCTGCCCTCTCCCTCTCCCAGTGCGGCAGCGCCCTCCCCCTCCCTTTCCCGACGGTGGCGCCCTCCCTCCTTCCTCTCTCGGCATGGCGGCGCTACCCCTGCCTCTTCCTTTCCCGGTGGTGCTCCTCCACCGCCTCCACCAGATCCGCCCCGCGTGGTGGCGGCCTGGGCGTGGTGGTGGTGCGGCGTGGTGGCGGCGCGGCGAGGAGAAGACGACGGGTTGTTTTTTTTTTTTTTTCTGAAAAATTGTTTGCCGAGTGTTTTTGGGCACTCGGCAACGTCTTTGCCGAGTGCGCGACAAAAAACACTTGGCAAACTAGCGTTTGGCGTCAAAACGTTTACCGAGTGTCGTTTGCCGAGTGTAACACTCGGCAAACCCTATGCCGAGTGTTTTTGAGGCTTCGCCGAGTGTCTCCGCACTCGGCAAAGATCCTGTATCCGGTAGTGATACTCCAAGTTCAAATGAACTATCTTCGCAACATATATAGAAGCTGGCACACGGCATGGTGCTTTCGTATGCAGTTCTAAGGGTATGTTTAGACGAGCTAGGAGTAGTCACTAGTTAAGGCTAAAATATAGTTCAAATTAAATTGAAATTGCATTAAACTTTACAACAATTACATACTTTTCATGCAAATTAAAGCTTCAACTGTTTTCGAGACGAACCATTTCATGCAAATTAAAGCTTCAACTATGTACAACAATTTAAGGCTTTGCAAGTCATACGCTACGAGAGTTTTGTGTTGGGACGATCAATAGTATGAGAGAAGACTAGATCAAAGGGCAAAGTAGCAACGTACTACCTCCGTCCTGAAAACATCCCAAAAAGAATGGAATTTTAAGTTTTATCACAGTTTAAAATCAGTCTGATCCGAAGTGTTTGCAGCAACAACACCCCTAAGTAGTTAATACTCCCGTTTCAAATTATAGGTCATTCTATCTTTTCAAAATACATAGCAAAAACTACATATATATCTAGAAAAGTCGGAATAACCTATAATTAGAACAGAGTACTATAGTATTCAAGCGGTCACAGTTGCAGCCGTTCCTAAACAAAGGCAGCCGAACATGCCCATTATTTTAAGTTTAATTAAATTTATAGAAAAAATATTATCTATATACATGACTCCAAATAAATATATTATAAAATATATTTCATGACCAATATAGTTATATTATTTAGTATAATAAATTTTAGTACTTTTTACGTAAATTTGGTCAAAAATTATTATTTGACTTATCTTTATTTTAAAATTACTTTTTGGAATGAAAGGAGTAAATATTAAGAGTATATCTCTTATATACTCTTAAATATTAAGAGTATTTCTCTTATATACAATAAATATTAAGAGTATATCTCTTATAAATCAAACCTTGTTCAAAAAAAAAAAGGAAAAAGTCTGATACTTTTTTGGTAGCTCAAAATTGTGTTGAAGAATTCTCCTTAAAAAACATAACAGGTGGGGTCTGCTACAAAGAGGTAAAGAAGAATTCTTATGGATTCCGAGCTAGCTGATATAGGTTTTCCAGGTGATGTGTTCACCTGGCAGAGAGGGAGGATTGGAGACAGGGGCGGAGCTACCTAAAATCCATAGAAAAGGCTAAATATCTGTTGTATATATACTGTATATATACGCAATATACGTCAATAAGTGCTGCCCTGCTTGTTCTTGTGGGCCTGATGGTGATGCACGTACCTAGCAAAACTAAGGCAAAACGATGTTCTAGTAAGCCATTGTATAGTTGTATTATAGATGTCTGATCTTTATAACCCCGCCACACCTAAGAATTATTCCTGCCTCCGCCGCTGATTAGAGAGCGATTGGATCGGGGAGTTGCTAATATACAATGGAACATTATATTTCCAGAAGCACAGCTCGTAAATGGAGTGATGGTCAAATCTTACCACCGCCCAATCATTGTTGAAACAGAATGTGGCAGTGGGCAATCTATTAACAGGGAAGGGCCGAGGAGATTTGAGGCTAGATGGTTGAAGGAGGAAACGGTGGAGGAAATAGTGCAAGCGGCCTGGGCACGTGCTGCAGCGATGGGCAACTGCCCAAAGCTGATGACAAAGGTGAATGTTGTGCACGATGACTTGCATGCTTTGGACCGTGAAGTTCTGAAGAAGCATGTCCAGCGTATGAAGAAATTGAAGAGGGAGCTTGAAATTCTGAGGCGTGGACCACCGACTGATGAATCGTTAGCTGCACAGAAGGAGATACTCCGGCGATTGGAGCTACTTCTTGAGCAGGAAGAAATTATCTGGGTCCAGAGAGCTAGAGCAAATTGGCTTAAGCATGGAGATCGGAACACTAGTTTTTTCCATCGTTATGCGTCGACCCAGAGGAGAAGAAACATGGTCAAGCTTGTAGATGAACAAGGAGTAAGACATGAGAACATTGATGAGATGAATGTGATGGTGAAGGAGTATTTTGCTAATCTCTTTACATCGGAAGTTCAAGAGGTAGATCAAGGAGTACCGATGGATGTAAATCGTAGGGTTACTACAGATATGAATCAGCTTCTCATGGCTCCTTTTTCAAGAGAGGAGGTGAAGAAAGCTCTTTTTAGTATTGGTGATCTTAAAGCCCTTGGCCCTGATGGTTTACATGCTATTTTCTTTAAAAGATTCTGGAAGATGTTGGGAGAGGAGTTGATTGATGAAGTGTTGCACACAGTTAACAGTTCAACTATTCCGGAGGGGTGGAATGATAATACCATAGTCATGATTCCGAAGGTAGAGAACCCAGATAAAGTTGCTCAGTTCAGACTAATCTCTTTATGTAACGTGGTCTACAAGGTAATATCAAAGTTACTTTCGAATAGACTTAAAGTTATTTTACCAGAAATTATCAGCCACCACTAAAGTGCATTCATTCCAGGAAGATTGATTATAAATAACATCTTACTAGCGTACGAATGCATCCATACAATGAAAAAGAAGAAAGGAAAGAGGGGGTTGTGTGCTGTAAAGCTTGATATGCATAAAGCATATGATAGAGTTGAATGGATTTTTCTGGAGAAAACTATGACGAAACTTGGTTTTGACCAGAGATGGGTGAACCTCATTATGGCTTGTGTCAAATCGGTGAAGTATAGGGTCCGTTTCAATTCTATAGAAACAGACACTATCTCACCAACAAGGGGTTTGAGGCAGGGTGACCCATTGTCACCATATCTATTCCTACTAGTTGCTGAAGGTCTATCTTGTATGTTGAAGGGAGCTGAAGAGAGGGGAGAATTGGAGGGTGTTAAGGTGTGCAGGGAAGCTCCTGTTATTTCACATTTTCTTTTTACAGATGACTCACTCATTTTAATGCTTGCCAACAAGAAAAATGCAGATTGCTTGAGTGATATGTTGAATAGATAATGTGCAAACTCGGGGCAAAAAGTCAGCGAAGCAAAGTCTAGTATATACTTTTCAAGCAATACAGAAGTGGATGTGAAGACAGAGGTGTATGAAGTGTTGAACATAATGACTGAATCTCTCAGTGACAAATATTTGGGCTTACCAGTGATGGTGGGGGCAGATCGTAGCGACTATTTTCGCCATCTTATTGATCGGGTGAATTCTAGAATCAATGGGTGGAAGGAGAAATTGTTGAGTTTGGGAGGAAAGGAGATCCTCATTAAATCTATTGCTCAAGCTGCTCCAGTGTATGCGATGATGGTGTTTAAAATTCTGAAGAACATTTGCAAAGAAATAACAAATGCTATTTCACAATACTGGTGGGGTGATGACAATGACCATAAGAGGATTCATTGGCAAGAGTGGTGGAAACTTTGT